AAAAAAAGTTGTTCATCATTGCCATGCCATATGTCCTTACTACACATGTACAGACTGCTTTTGTTTTAAACTTTACATAAACATGTTCTGTAAAAACATCATACTGTATTCCTGTTATTTTTAATCAACATCATTGAGAATTAGTGACATCCACACAAGAAGCTCTAATTGTCATATTGGTTGCTATATAGTACCCCACTTGTGACTATACCCCAACTTACCTATTCTTTTTCTGGACATACAGATTGCTCCCAATGTATTCCTTTTAGAAACAATGCTACAATGAAAACTCTTACAAATGTCTCTTTTTAAACAGACAAGAAGGACGCTTGATCAAATTTGACTTTTTCAGTTTTGTTTTGATTAAGCAAATATATTTTATAGGTGGTGGTATGAACTTTTATCAGGAGGCATATAATTTTTTCTGATGACTGCCTCTCTTTGTCATATAAGGCGCATCAACAATCATCGGGGATTTATAAATGAAATTTATCTAATTCTTTCACCCCTTCATTTATCAGTTGGACTATACCTCTAAGGCACAACTCCTCTATATATACTGTTGGGTTAAGGAAGTACAAGATAAATGTTTCTTTTATTTACCGATTTTCAAAATAAGTTGGTTTATTTCCTACTAGCCTCCAAAGTTGACCAATAGAATGTTTAATTGCAGTGGGGGTAAGTAGAAAATGTTGTAAGTGTGTTGATATAAACTGCTGGTATGTTTCAATTAATTACAACACACTTATTCTTCTTAGGGCTCAAGCTTTTTTCATGTCTTTTAAGATTTATTTATTTATGCATACAAGAACAGGGTACAGGCCAGAGGTGTTTGGAGGTGAGAGGATTCACCAGAGACAGAGTGGGTAACAGAACAGGCAAACTGACAGAAATACACTGCTGAGGGGAGACAGGAGAGGTCTGCACTCCATATGGGTAGCTCCCTGGGCAGGGATGGAACTCATGCTGCTTGGATAGCTTCATAGGTTGCGTCTTAAGCCCTTGAGCCACCAGGGAGGCCCCGTTTTTCATTTTTGTTTTGAAGATTTATTTATTTATACAAGAACTGGGATACAGGCCAGAGGCATGGGAGGGTGAGAGAACTCACCAGAGCCAGAGCAGGGAGCAGAACAGATAGACTGATGAAATACACTACTGAGAGGAGCAGTGGGCGCGACAGAAGAGGCCTGCGTGCCACGTGGGACCCTAGCTGGTGGCTGGGGATCGAACCGGCACTGCAGAGGCTGCAGGCAGCCTCGCAGCCCAGCAATCCACCGCTGAGCCACCGGGGAGGCCCTAGAATTCAGTTTTTTAAAAAACTGTTTGCTGTCCTTGAGAAAATGATATTTGAGGTTTTATGTACAGAATATAAATGTTTAATATTCACTAATTGACTCTTCATCAATAATCTATAAAATAAAATCAGGATTGTACCACTTGACAGATGAAGAAACTAAGACACAGAAAGGTTAAGTATCTTATTGCTCAAAAATCACAAAGATAATAAGGTCACAAAGCCAGAATTCACACCAAGGCAATCTGGTTCCTGCAGTTGTGCTTTAAATCCTAGTAATAATAACCACATAATGGATTTTCCCTTTCCTTAGCTGCCTCACCAACAGCAATTACACAGGCCTGATACTCTGAATTTTTCCTTCTCCCAACTTTAACTTTCTATTATTCTTTTTTCTCTTTTAAACACTGGTAATGCATGACAACTCAAATCCTTTCTACAACAAGGAAGGGTTAAAAACAATCAGCTAATAAACTTATCCAAATAGCTATTTATAGATTTACACTAAATGCAAAAATTAATAGGTTTTAAAATTATACAAGATCATAAAGTGGCAGAGTTCTCTTGGACAGATCTTTTTCTAGGTTACTAAATACACCCGCCACAGGAAGCTGTGATGTGGCAGAGAGAAGACTAGGCTGACGAGTCTAATGTTCTGGATGCAGGGCTTTAGTCTCTTCAATTGTGACAGTAAGGACCCTTTAGAAAAGTGACTCAGGGCCTCCCCGGTGGCGCAGCGGTTGAGCACTGGGTTGCGAGGCTGCCCGCGGCCTCTGCGGCACCGGTTCAATCCCCGGCTGCTCCCCGGCCACCAGAGGAGGGTCCCACATGGCGCACAGACCTCTCCTGCCGCCCGCTGCTCCCCTCAGCAGTGTACTTCGGTCCTTCTGCCTGCTCTGCTCCCCGCTCTGGCTCTGGTGAATTCTCTCATCCCCCACACCTCTGACTGTCCCCAGTGCATGTATAAACAAAGCAAAGCAAAACAAACAAACAAACAAACAAACAAACAAATAAATAAATAAATAAATAAATAAGAAAAGTGACTCAATGATTTTCCCTACCAGTTAGAAAAGTCACTCAATGACTAAAGAAAAAAGTTATAAAAGATTGATCTCTAACCTCCTGCTTAATGTTGATTAACTGTGATTTTAAACAAGCTGAACCCTGAATTTCAGTTTCCTCGTCTAAAATATGAGGATATTACCTATGTCATGGGTTTTATTATAAAATTTAAACTTTTAAAATGTGACTTCTAGAAATTTTAAAATTATATATCTGGACTGTAATTTTATTTCTATTGAACAGCATCATACTAGATACTGCAGTAAAAAGTAAAAAGAAACAGGTGAAATTAGTTTTAATAATCTTTTATTTAACCCAATATATCTAATATTACCATTTTCACATATAATCAACATAAAAATAACTAATTAAATATTTTACATCTTTCTTTTTGGACTAAGGCTTCTAAATACAGTATGTATTTTACACTTACAGTACATCTCAACTTGTACACTACATTTCCATCAGAACTGTATTTAGAGTTCATAAAATTTACAATTAATAAAGCAGATTCACACATCCACGTTGTCTAAAACAGACTTAAAAGTTTCCCAATAACTGCAATATCAAGTATCCCCCCAAACTGATTTCCTTTAATATCTGTCCCAGTTGAACTGGCAACATTTCGAGAGATAAAGGGCTATAACAGCACTAGTGGCTATCACAGTGAACAGTGCAGGTCTAACAAATAATGTGTAGTTAAAGGGTAGCAGTTTCTACACATAATTAAATGAAAATGGCACTGTGATTCAGGTAAGTGAGAGAATCTAGATACGAACCTTATTTTGGGTACATTATAAAGGAAATTCCAATGGGTAGAGTACCAAACTACTGATACAAGTAAGGTTGTGAGTTATTCAAATGCAAGAAACAGAATAAGGACTTGAAATTATGATTCCTTTTCCCACTCAAAAAATCATCTTTGGTACCAAAAGTCTGGAACAGTTTCCTTGAGTATTAATGCTTTCCACCTAAGAATTACATGTTTATCAAATCATTAATCCACCTAGGAAGGCCTGAGAAGTATGTTTTAATGAATGTGTTATAGAAATGAATCTTAGATAAGATATATAATATGTACATATTATGTAACCAGTATACATACATCTACATCTTTCACAAAATAAAATACTACCAAAGTCTTAAATCTAACCTACAATACCTAAGATTTTAAATTCAAATTTGTCTTTATAGAACTTCCATGGGAATATGTAAGTCACTATATCCATAATACTAATAGTGGTATGCCTCTGGGTGGAAGCATTAAGATTCCCAATTGATTAACTTTTATAGTTCAACAAAGCAGATTTCTATAAATCTAACCTAATTTATCTACCTAAAATCAGAGAGCAAGAATATATGAACATCTATATATATGAACATCTATTTATTTTATACTAATCATGTGATGTACTACTACATGGATAACCACCTGGCACAATTTAAAAGCATGTAATTGTTTATAGAAGACAGCTGATTTTTGCCTGCCTAGGGTCTGGTGCTCCTTCTTCTGATGTTAACATCTCAATTTTCCTTTGGGAATTAATGCTTTTCCACTTCAAATCATGTATTTCTAGAAAGGAATGATGATAGCTCCTCATTCCACTGAAGTTATTGAATTCAATAGACTTGGTAAATTGGTGGCCATCTTTTCAGATAGACTATATCAAAACATTAACATTAGCTATCTTTCGTGTGTGTGTGTGTGTGTGTGTGTGTGTGTAGAAAAACTGGGGTGTAGTCCAGAGGTGTGGGGGTGGTAAGAGGGTTCACCAGAGATAGAATGGGGATAGGTGGATTTACTGAAATACACTGCGAAAGGGAGCAGCAGTCATATGTGGGTTAGCTCCCTGGCCAGGGATCAAACTCAGGTTATAGAGGAGATTGCACTGAGACTTAACCCCTAGGCCACCAGGGAGGTCCAACATTAGCTATCTTTCAATAATGGAAACACAGTTGGTATTTTTCTCCTCTACCTAGTATTGCACACTTTTTTTGCAGCATTTTTTCTTAAAAAGACTTGTATAGAATACAAATCTTCAGTGACATAAAATTTAATTGCATTAATAAAAATAAAAGGAAACCTTATCTCCTCTCTGAGACTCAATCCCCCTTATCATATACGAATTGGAGGATGTTCTGCATAAGCACGTGTAGGAGAGAAACAAGAGTCAGACCTGTACAGTGGTCACAACAATCAAGGCATGAGCTGAATAGGACAATGTCCTTAAAATGCTTATATACTTGGCAGCCATCTAATTATTTTAACTGAAAACATCTGTTGTTTGAGTGTCCTCCTTAATATTGTACACAGAGAAAATAATTAAGAAAATATTTAGCAAACAGTTCTTAAATAGTCATAACAGACTAGACCCTTTGACAGAACAATCACGATTTACTGTTGTAAATTAAGTAAGCTAGCTGCCTCTGTCAAAACATACTCTAACTCACATAATGAAAGGAAAATTGATGGTAATACCATGCCTTTCCAGGTCTGCAGTTATCTCTCTCAATTCAATTCAGTTCCACAATTATCAAACTACAATGATCAAAGTACTTCCTGACAGGAAAAGATTGACACTCTCTCAATAACTGACATTCACATAAGAGTATTCTTGCTAGATGCAGTGTCAGCCCAGCCTACCTGTCCAAAGTGAGCAGGGTAGCCCAGCATGTGCATATATAGTAATTTTGCCACATTCCGACACCGGTATGTATTGTCTTCTTCTCTAAAAGATGACCGGATTGCAGCACATTCTTTCTGGATCATTTCTCGTTCTTCGGCTTGGGTTCGGGCTGTCCGGATGGTCCGGATCAGCTCCCGCAATCTGATGGGGGCTGGCATCCTCTGGATATGGAAAGACATTAAATAAAGACGTTCACGTTTTTTGCTATGAAAAACCATTCACACAACTTCCCACATAAATTTTGATTTTTAACAATTCACAACTACTTAAGTCCAGCAAAGATGAATCCTATTCAGAACACAAACATAAATGTTAGGTATCATATTAAGCAAAACAAGACATGGAATACACCAATATGTGAAACTCATCACTAATATCAAAATATTTTGGGAACTAACTCAACCCAAATCTCTATGAAATCCTCAAAGTAACAAGGAAAAGCCTAAGTCTCACCTCAGAAAGGAGACATTTTCTGCTCAGCTCTTGTTAAATTCAACAAAGTTCAACAAAGTATCAGAAGAGTATCAAATATGATCAAAATCAAAGTTCAATTAAACAAAATGAGAGATTAAGAAAAAAGACCAATTGTCAGATCAAACCACCTTTCTGAAAAACAGTAATCACCTCAGTACATTTGAATAGGCTTTGAAATTTGATGGGGGAAAGATAATAAACCAGTATCAGAAGATAAGACAGGAATATTCACACACTCGCATGCATGTTTTTAGAAGGCTCTATAATAGCCACAACAATTATGAGGGAAAAAAGAAGAAAACAGCTAGAGATTTGCACTACCTGAATAGTACTGAAGACAAATAGTACTAAAAAAAAATGTCTTGTAGTACTACTATTCAGCACAAGTGTTGCTGATTTCAAGAAATTCTACAAAGCTACACTACTAACCAGGACAGTGTGGAACTGAATTTAAGCATAGACATATAGAGATAATATCTCAGAAAAACAGAAAACTTAGGAAGAGAGACACACAAATATGCATGATTGATTTTCAACAAAGGGGCCAGATAATTCGATTCAATAGGAGGAAGTATAGTCTTTCATAAGACTATAAAATGGAACCAACACCCCATATGGAAGAGTCTCAAAAATATTCTGTTCAGCATAATAAGCAGGCACGAGTACATATTGTTTGGGTTTACATAATTATACATATATTATCATTAGTTTACTATAAAAGAGACATGGAAATTATTTGGATGATGAAAGGTTTCAGAACATCAGTGGAATGGGCAGCTTCACAAGATGCCATTTCAACTGTGACTTACTTCAGTCTGCCTAATTTCCATGAATGTCACCTACCTCTAAATAAGAAATAATCGTTGTCGTCTAGAGCTGTTTGGTGCCTCCATATTCTGGAAGAACTTTATTTCCAACTTTCACATTCACTGGTTGAATCTCTCTATTTCAAAGATGAATCCAACAGCTACTACTGTTGTTTGCAACACTTTTCCCTGATGTTTCAGTAAGCATAATGCCTCTATTCAGCTACACTCCTTTCAGCTAATACGCCATCAAAGAGGGGAAGAAACTTTTAAATTCCTGTCATGCCATGACCCTAACCCCCAAATTTTCTATTCTCACACAGCAGCAGTCAACAGGAGAGACCCACAATCTGGACCTCCAGACACATGAGTTGAGAGTATATATTGTATGATTTCACTTACATGGAACTTTAGGAAAGATAAGCAGAATATATAATGAGGGCAAAGAGATCAATGATTACCTGGAGTTGAGGTGGGTAGGGAAGAGAACTGACTAGTATGCAAGAAAACTTTTTTTGTTTGTAATGGGTATATATACTTCTCAAAATTCACCTAACTGCACACTTAAAATAGATGCATTTTCGCTGTTCTAACACCACATACCAGGATATCCCACTCCCATCAGTTCACTAAAGCATCGGTCCTCAAGTATTGTGCATTAAGAATTTAGAAAAGCCCCAGGTATGGATGTGAGGGAGATCTGGCTGCAACATCTGTCACCCCATTGATCGCCAGGGTTGATTCGGCTGATCTGGCTGGCTAGGCGGGTGTCCCCTTCCTCCCTCACCGCTCCATGTGCGTCCCTCCCGAAGCTGCGGGCTCGGTCGAAGAGGACGGCCTTCCCCGAATAGAGACGGACCGGTCTTCGGTCGAGGGTATACGAGTAGCTGCGCTCCCCTGCTAGAACCTCCAAACAAGCTCTCAAGAAAAGCCCCAGGTATTCATATGCACCTACAAAAGGAGTCAGATTGGTCCTCTTAAGTATATCCTCAACTAAATAAAGGTACCTGTATTGTGCCGTTTTGTTACTTTTTAGTAGAAATACTCCAGGATCTAGTGTTTGAAGTTTACAAAACACTTTTACATTCCTCATCTTCATTATCTCATTTGTTCCTTTAGACCGTTTTGAAGTGAAGGCAAAGGCAGAGGTTACTATTACAACTTCGGGAGAAACTTGGTCTCACAACAACTATGCAACTTCCTTAAGACAGTAAATATGTTGGGGCCTCCCTGGTGGAGCAGGTGGTTGAGCACAGTACTGTGAAGCAATCCGCAGCCTCTGGAGCACAGGTCCGATCCCGGCCAGCTGGGAAGAATCCCACATGGCACAGCAGACCTCTCCTGTCTCGCCCGCTGCTCCCCTCAGCAGTATCTTCGGTCCGTCTGCCTGTTCTGTTCCCTGCTCTGTCTCTGGTGAATCTTCTTTACCCTCCTGCACAATCTGGCCTGTACCCCGGTTCTTGAATGCATGAATAAACAAATATTAAAAAAAAAAAAGAAAGATAGTAAAGATGTTAAGTGACAGTGCCTGGTCTTAGAACTTAGAACCCGGTGTTAGAATTCAAAAGCGTGCTCTCTAATACTTCAAAAATGAACATTATATTTACAGATGAAATCACAGGATTTGCTAATTTGCTTTATAATACTATAGGAGGAAATAAAGTACGGAGGAAGAAGGCAGAAGAAAAACGAGACAAGGTGGACAAAACGTTGATCACTGCTGAAGTATAATGGATATATGAAGAAACAGTATATTATCCTTTAATATATATTCACATTTTTTCCATAATAAAGTTTTGTAAAAGTGAAAGCCCCTCAAGAAACAAGGCACTTAAAGCCTTAAAATTTTTTGTATAAAATTGAAATAGTTAAATTAATTAAAATATACTGACTTTAAGATAAAACATTTAAGGGTAAGCAAACCAATGTTATATTTGATATCAAAATAGTGAAATTATGAAGTGCATAAAGCTATTATAGTTCTTGCAAACAAGAACTAAATACAAAATTAGTTTCTGACTGCTCAAAGCCCAGAGAGTCCACTTTCATAAACAATCGTATTTATCATTAACTGTAACTTAACATGATGGGAACAGAAGTCTATAGCAACGTATGTCAATCAAGATCAATTAGAAATAACTTTTCTCTATGAAGACCTCAGTGATTGAACAAAGCAAATAATCAGAAAATGCCTAAATTTAGTCTAAAAATTTGTAGCCCAACAGGAAAAAAAATTACAAACGGGCCTCCTTGGTGGCGCAGGCGGTTGAGCGCCATACTGTGAGCCTCTGCAGTGCAGCTTCGATCCCCACCAGCCAACGAGAATCCCACATGGCGTGGCAGAACTCTCCTGTCTTGCCCGCTACTCCCTTCAGCAGTGTATTTCGGCAGTCTGCCTGTTCTGTTCCCTGCTCTGTCCCTGGTGAATCCTCTCACCCTCCCATGCATCTGGCCTGTACCCTGGTTCGTGTATAAATAAATAAATTTTAAAAAAAAAAAATTACAAACATTTAAGACAGCTGAGGAAAAAAACAAGTTAACTGGAACAAATTCTCAGGTAATAGCCACAGATCATAGTTGTGCCAGGAAATTCAGGATCCAGGCTGTTGACTACCTTGTACAAGGTCACAGAATTAGTTACTGGTCTGACTCCTGTCTCCTGATTCCCGGAACTCTTCCTCCAACACTAGGCTGTCTCAAGTTTGGAAAAAAGTAGTTTGGTTTTTTTTTCCCCCTGAATGACAATAATTCGCTACCACCTAATTTCTTCATATATCACAAGAAAACATGGATTAAATATGGATGAAAAACAAAAGTTAACTCACATGAAAAATCTGGTACATTTCAGAAATCAAATTCTAAGGTCAAAATGAAGCAGAAAGTTATGTCTAGTTCCAGGAAGATTGAGTAAGCACACTCCTGTAACACAGAATGTAAATATAAACCCTGGACAAAATGAGGACTCTGAATAGCAATGATAGTGAGCAGACTAGGAAAAAGGAGCAAAATTTGAGGTTCCATCAAATTGGCAAGAGAGTATCAATTTCCTTCCAGTCTGCACCCAAGGGCAGTCCAAAACCCAGAAGCACTCACAGGGTACACAGTACCTCTAAGAAAATGCTCTCTTTCTGGTCCAAGGAGCAGGAAAAGAAAGATCAAAGACAATGGAGGATATTCTCTCATTTGGCTTTTCATTATTTCCTTCCCTCCACCTCAACCCCTAGGCAATAACAAGCCTGGTGGCTATAGCAGAACAATGCCAGTAACATCCACAGAGGCACCCAAAGAACTGGCAAAGGAGAACTCCCTTGATCCCAAGAGCCATGATCCTAAGAACAAGGCATAAATCATTCTTTATCCTCCCACTGCCTGATAAGAGAGTGAATTTTCCAAGAAAACAAACTAATAACAAATGCACTTAACATTAGAGCTAAAAAATACATGAAGCAAAAAATTGCCAGATACAGAAGGAAAAATAAACAAATCCCCAGTTATAGTTAGACTTCAAAATGTACCTTCCCTCCCAGGTAATGTTTCAGCATTATGTAACAGCAAGGATACAGAAGACTTAAATGCCATCATCAACTGACAGGATTCAACCACCATTTATAAAACACCCCAACCAACAATAGCAGAATGCATATTATTCTTGACTCCATACAGAACATTCATCAAGACAGACTATGTCCTGTGTCATTAACCAAAAACAAAGTTAATAAATATGGTTTTTCATTATAATGGAATTAAACTAGAAATTAAAAACAGGTAACTGAAAAAAAAAATCCTGAAATACTTGGAAATTAAACTATATTCCCATATAATCCACAGATGAAAGAGGAAATGTGGGAAATTTGTAAATATACGGAAACGAACAATTACAA